TGAACAAATTGTGAAGATAAAAGCGAAATAAAATCACAAAAGCGTTCTACCATCACCATCTTTCTCTTGACAAAAGCAAGGCTTGAGTGGTAGATCAAGTTTGGTGTGGAGAAGATCGCTTGTCAATTCAGCAATGCATACCGAAAAGTAAAACGCAAAAACCCAGGAACGTTGTGTTAACCATACTTTTATCCCAGCCCGTACTCTAGTCTATAAGCTGGCTGTTTTTCACAAAGTATTCCCATCATAACCTTCCTAAATGGAGATTTAGTACAAGTGGTAGATGTTGCGTGATGTTGTGAAGTTAACTGCAAAATCAAGTCTTACCCTCAAAGTAATGTGGCTAGATTCGCCATCCGTTTCTATGGAACCCCATAAAACTGGCACATGTTGAACACATCTCGGCTCCTGTGCCACTAATAAACTAATGGAAAATACGAAGTCAAAGATGACTTGGGTGCAGCCCCCGTTCAATTTTTCGTGGTTGCAAAAGACTGTAAAGAGCGAATTAGTACTGCCTCCTCTGCAACTATGAACATGCACTGCTACAGCAGCGAAATGGGTAGGTGCATGATGCTTTACAGGACAACAATAGACAATTAAAAACGGACTGATTGGGTACCAAAACTCTCGTTGGAACTTGAACAAGAGCTCGAGTCAGCAAAGGTCGTTAAGTTGGTGCTAGTCGAATGTCACAAAATGAAAGGAAAAGGCGTTAGAATAGCATTACATTTCAGTTAAACTTGCTCTCCGAACAGCTTTAATCTACAGGATAGACTGCGTTTTCTACTTTGTCCGAGTCGTGCTATCCTTGCAAAAGCGGAATTGTCTGCATCAAGCAGCAGCATATAAAAGGTTGCCAGTAGGTCGTAGAGCAGATGTGATTTTCAAGAGAAGCCAAGGCCTTCCCTATTCACACTTAGTGCATGACTGGTACCAACAAGGCAAATTCGCACTTGCCATTACAATCGTCGACATTACTTTACACCAAATGAGTGGGCTTCGAAAGTATGAATAGCAGTTGAATTAGAACGCCAGTCATCTTAAGCCTTAACATTCAATTCTAGCCTGTGACCCACTGGCTCCTGCGGAGTGGTATTGTTACTGAGTGACCTTAACAAGCCGAGTTAGAATCAGTTTAGATGTGCCGGTGAGATCAACGCGAGGACGAGATCTGAGATAACATATTTATTCTACTTATTTCGGTTAAGGTGGTAGAAGGACCGATAGTTGAACTTTCCCACAATGACAAAAATAGGTTTCATATTCCAACTGAATTTCATATAACCTTGCTTCCCCGAAAAAATTCTTCTTCTATTTGAAGTCTAGGTCTCATCAGTACACCCAGCGGGACTCGAACCTAGGCTGTGGTAGTGTAGCGTACAGTCCCAACGCGTTAGTCACTATGCCACACTATCATGGGTGTCTTGGGATAACAGGTTAGATGTGAATTTTAAGGAAGGTCAGGCATTTTTCCATATCACCTTTCTTTTGTGGGATTTTCGATGAAGCGAAATTGTATTTGCTAAAGCAATAGACTGTATTACTTATTTTTCGTTTCATAATTAGGTTTTTCCTTCATCCATTTAAGCGAAATGATGTGAAAACAGTTTATATATCAGATTTACTGGAAGTCTCGAAGACCTATTTATGAAACAAAAGATAAAAATTTAGTTTAGTGTTGGCTTGATCTCGTTTTCAGAACTTGGTCGTGTTGTCAAGGCGACTTAGTTGGACGCAGCTTGTTCGAAGTCCTCTTCTATAGTGATTACCACAATTGCCGGCGTTAGACCGTTGAGTTGGTACATTTTAAGATGTTTCGCCGGCATCATTAGTGAGTCTTTCCACGCTGGGAATTGTGCTATCCATTCTAGCAGAGGACTTCAGACAGGGTGCGTCAGACTAAGTTGCGAAAACGAGGTCAGCCAGCTTCTATTCATCGAAAGGAGACTGCTACCATACCAAAAGCCAAATCATCTTGGTCTTCAAATCTTAATTTTTGTTGAACTCCTCCCAGTAAACCATCTTATTCGCAATGTAGGAGCCAGATATTTCCCAAACTTGTGCACCTGCTCCAGCCTCCTTACGAAATACCAGCTTCGGGCATTTTTGTGGTCTAGTTTTACGCCCAACAAACGCTGACATTTGGCAGACATAAGAGTCATTCAACTGCAGGTCTTTGTAGCTATTACCCAATTAACTGAAAATTAAGTGGAAATTGTGCGCCACTTTCGACTTCCTTAAGCCAGACATATCCGGCATGCCTCATCGGAGTCCATTTCGTCAACGACCAGAGATAAATCCTCGCCAGACGGTGCTTTGTGGGGCAGCAGAGGACCAGCTATTTCGAAGAATCCAACTGAACCATCAAAGACCGTATACCAAACGGGCGAAGAGTACCGGTACTTCGAGCGTCTAGCATGTAGCCATACAAATGGAAACCATCCCAACGCCCAAATGGGAAATATGTGGACGGAGAACCGTTTAATTGGATGAAATTGTCATTTCTGACTGACCCGTTCCACATCGTCAGCATCAGTTTCCACCTCACTTCCGTCGCGTTCGATTCGCAGAAGACACCGGCCGTTGGGCCGAGTCTCGAGGAGAACCGCGGCAGTGTAGCCATCTCGGAAGGTGAACCAGACCCGAGACAAGCTTCCCGGCTCACTGGAGGCCTGGTGGGCAGTTTCGTCCAGACCGGAATGGTCGAGGTGGGCTGGCCTTCTTGAAGAGTAGGACTCGGCGGTCAGTTGGGCCGACGGTCGTTGGGGCGGTGATCTCGATCGAGCGCCCGGATCCAGTCCAACAAGGCGGGCTTCCGACTGGTGCAGAGCCGCGGTTTGTCTCACCGAGGCAATCGACGAGATTGAAGAGCCCTGGCACGAAACCGGCGACGTAGTCATGGCATCATCGAAACGCAATGACTCGTTGGAAGGAACAAATTGGCGCCCAGACACCGGCAAGCTATGCAGGTAGTTCTGGCAGTTGCCGGAGCCATGCTTCAGAAAGGATATGGAAGGGAAAATGGAACAAAATGGGTTTGTTTGTGTGTGTGGGGTACATAAAATACAAGAGGACAGTGACACTTGGCCTACCGAGGTTGCCATATGACAGACGAAAGTGTGCGATGAGGCCACATTGGTTCGTATTTGAGTAGGGTTTCGAGACTACCAGTAAATCAGTGTAATGAGATGTATTCACCCTATTTCGTGTAAGATGAGAGTAAGGGTTTCGAGACTACCAGTAAATCAGTGTAATGAGATGTATTCACCCTATTTCGTCTAAGGTGATGAAGGAATCGAGACTACCAGTAAATCAGTGTAATGAGATGTATTCACCCTATTTCGTGTAAGGTGATGAAGGACTGGAAGTGACTACCAGTAAATCAGTGTAATGAGATGTATTCACCCTATTTCGTGTAAGGTGATGAAGGACTGGTAGTCGGTGTAATGAGATGTATTCACCCTATTTCGTGTAAGGTGATGAAGGACTGGTAGTACTACCAGTAAATCAGTGTAATGAGATGTATTCACCCTATTTCGTGTAAGGTGATGAAGGACTGGTAGTAGGTAAATCAGTGTAATGAGATGTATTCACCCTATTTCGTGTAAGGTGATGAAGGACTGGTAGTAGAATTTTATCAGTCTAATGAGATGTATTCACCCTATTTCGTGTAAGGTGATGAAGGACTGGTAGTAGAATTTTCCCACAATGAATCCCGCTGAGGGTGTTGATAAGATCAATGCGAGGTCGAAACTGTAGTCCACTCCAGCCAGGATGAGAACAACTTTTGGGAAAGCAAGGCAATGTGAAATTCAATGGAAAAGTCAGCTAAACTCATATCATTGTGGGAAAATTCTACTACCAGTCCTTTATCACCTTAGACGAAATAGGGTGAATACATTTCATATCATTGTGGGAAAATTCTACTACCAGTCTTTCATCACCTTAGACGAAATAGGGTGAATACATCTCGATTGTGGGAAAATTCTACTACCAATCCTTCATCACCTTACACGAAATAGGGTGAATACATCTCATTA